CTGATGCTGAAAGCAAGTACAGTAGCTATGAGCTGGAGGCCTTAGCAGTAGTCCAGGGTGTGAAAAAATTCCATCATTACTTATTCGGGATTAAATTTAAAATCGTCACGGATTGTCAAGCTTTTAGTATGACTTTAAGGAAACGGGATTTGACACCTAAGGTAGCTAGATGGGTGCTTTTACTTGACCAGTATGATTATGTTATAGAACATAGGTCTGGTAGTCAGATGAGACACACGGATGCTTTAAGTAGGAATTGTTATGATGCAGGCATGGTGGTGACCTTGCATGATCAAATACAACAAGCACAGGACTGTGATGAGGGATTAAAGGCTATAAAGGAAATTTTGCGGGAAAGACCTTTTGCAGATTATTATTTGGAAAGAGGCTTACTTTACAAAGGTATGAGTAGACGATTAGTTGTACCTAAAAGCATAGAAACAGAAATAATAAGAAGAGTTCATGAGCGTGGCCATTTTTCTAAGAAGAAAATAATAGAGTTAATTGGTAAGGATTACTTCATTAAAAATTTAAACAATAAAATTGAGGAATTTCTTGTAACTTGTATACCATGTCTACTAGCTACAAGAAAGGAGGGACATCAAGAGGGATTTTTACACTCAATTGATAAACACAATATACCATTGCATACCCTGCATTGTGACCATATTGGACCTTTATCACAGACAAAGAAACAGTATAATTATATTTTCACTGTAGTAGATGGTTTCTCAAAATTTGTTTGGATCTTTCCTACCAAGGGTACAACCCTCAAAAGAAACTTTAAGTAAACTTTTAATCCATCAGCAGACATTTGGCAACCCAACGAGGTTTATAAACAGACAGGGGTACTGCATTCACCAGTTTGGAATTTAGAGACTATTGTGTAAGAGAAAAAATTGAACATGTAACTATCACGACTGGGGTGCCACGTGGTAACGGTCAAGTAGAGCGAATACATAGGATCATAATATCAATTCTAACAAAACTTTGCATTTCAGATCAGTCCCTTTGGTATAGACATGTAAGCCGCCTTCAGCAAGCTTTAAATAGTACTTTTCAGAGAAGCATCAACACTACACCATTTCAGTTAATAACCGGAGTAAAGATGAAAACAAATGAAGACATAGAAATCTACAATTTGTTGCAACAAGAGAGTATAGATTGTTTCATGCAAGAAAGAGAAGAGTTAAGATGTCTGGCTAAGGCACAGATAGGAAAAGTTCAGGCGGAAAATGCTCAGTCATACAATAAGAAGAGAAAGGAAAGCACTAAGTATCGTGAAGGGGATAGAGTTGTCATCAAAAGGACCCAATTTGGTTCGGGTCTCAACTCAAGGAGAAGTTTTTGGGACCTTATGTAGTAACAAAGGTCAAGGGGAATGACCGTTATGACCTAGAAAAGGTCCATAGCTATAGAGAGGGACCTACCAAAACAAGTAGTTCAGCAGACAATATGAAACCATGGCCTGGGTTTCAGGATACTTTAGGTGAATAGCCACCTTCATATTTTTTTTTGGTTTTATGTTTATTTTTATTTTTTTTGTTTTTTTTTGATTTTTTTCAAATAACCTAAGCAGATCTCTCTCCAGATGATACATGGTGTAAGACAAGAGTGGTCAGATAACAGTTACAATAATAACCAAAATTTGTCTTGTATTGGTAGTTATCTTATGTAGAAATAAAGAGGTTCTTCCATGATTATAATATTGTAATTCTGATATGTTTGTGTGAACGAGAATGTCTTGGTTTTATTTTTGTATAATGTAGTGGTGGTATGTTTGAGATGGTGTTTTAGAGTATACTAAGCATGTGAGAGTATGACAGAAGAGAGCATGGTGTGTGGCTAGAGGCAGCCAAACCTGCAGGATGGCCGAGATGTAGGTCTGTGGTTTCTGAGCGAAAGGGAATGTTAGATGAATGGGATTGAGATGCATGAACGACTGATTTGATAGAGGGGGATAGATGTATGAGAGGGAGAGAGAGATAGTATAAAAGGGCAGGAAGCCATGAGGCGTGGTAGAAGAAAAGAACTACAAGGAATATTTTAGAAAAGAGTGAATAAATCAGAGAGACACGAAAAATCTTTTATTTTGCCCACCACGACACCACATATATAACGATAATACGCTAAACATTCTTTTACCTCTGCTGACACTTCAACATTTTAAATTAACCCTACTAATGTGTTTTATGTATATCATGTTCTCCTAGAAGTTATATTATAGGAAATAATTCGGGAACCGCGTCTCTCATGCTGTGGAAGTGAGGAAATTTCATATAGATTTCTTACTGTAATTGAACAAAATCTCCTGTACCGATCATGCAATTTTCAATTATATCAGATTTAATACCACTTTTCGGAACAGGATCAACTCCAAACTAATTTCAATTATAATTAAGAACTGTTTTAGGGATGAAAAATTTTACTTTAATAAATTATAGTGTAATCCAGTAAAATATAGTATATACTGTGATTTAAGGCTAAATACACAAGTCAACTTTAATAAGGACAACGAAGGAACCATAAAGAATGTATTGATAATAAATCATCGTAGCATAGAAAAGCACTTCAAACTTCAAACAGCGAACGTTGTAAATGGCGCAGAAAGTCGCATCGCAGAGGATAATTACTAGCCACAGTTAATAACATCTTATAATGGAGACATGAACATAGCTCTTCAAGCATTACAGACCCTATAAATATTCATGCGGTGCCCCGACAAAGGCGGGCACAATAAAGTCCAAGTGCAAACTAGGATATATGGACGGCAATAAGTCATCCACAATAATGTATAGGATCACCGTTCCTGGCTATGGAGGGTTCGTTGACCCCGCTATCTGGATCTAAAGGATAATGGTCAATAGGGGGATCTGTTGAATGGAAGTAGAGTTGAATGAGAGTGGCATTGATTTGGAACTAAGATTTTACGACAAAAAGTCACCATCCACTGGATATTATTTGAAAACGTAACATAATTTGATTTAGACAAGACAAATTGAAAATATATAAGGCTACTGTACAAAATTCTCTAACCAATCTGGGTTAAATGTGTGATGTAAAACTGTGGTGGAAATTTTACCAAATTAAGTAGGTATATATGCATAGATAAGTTGATTAAATTTAAAGTATAATTTGTTAATTGAGAGCGTAAATAATTAATGCGGAAATAATTAAGATAACAGTCGAGCCGCGAATCAATATTTTTTTGTAATAGTTGTTACCTAATTCGGAATGGGATATTTTTCTGGGCTCATCTTTCCTTACAAGAGAAAGAACTGCATTATCAATATGTTTCTTACACATTTAGCATTGAATTACATATATACAACTTTAAATATAAATTTTTAACAAACTAGAAAAAAATCAAAGAAATTAAAACACATAAACCACACAATAAGTTTATATTTATATAGATGACAAGTTATAGATTTTCACCTTGGTCAAATAGTACAAAGAAAACAGCCGATAGAGCTGAACGTAACGTATAGAAAAACACAAGAGCTGTCATTTCTAGAACTTCAACAGCGATCAATCAAGCGATAAGAAGCCAGCCGCGTCTTGCCGATATGCCGATTGTACGATACATGTCAATCTCGATGGCTAAAAATAAACATTTTCACATTCCTAAAATAGAACGGCGCTCTTGGAACTAGCTGACTACACTGTAAGCGGAGTGGTACACACGATACAGAATGCCTAATAAGAAGATCGGTTTAAGAAATCTCGAGCCTTAACCCGAGCTAGGGTCAACGACCTGCGCACCGGCTAGTAACAAGCGCGAGCCATGTTGTTGTCTATGGAATAGTTCGGCAGACTATTTATTTTGGCAGATTTTCAGTTCAAGGTCGAATTTTTGTGTTGTTAGTCAATTGGCGATTAGATTTTATAACGACTTGATATTTACTTATTACTTTAGACTTTCAAAATACCATACATTTAGAATAATAAATTCATAAAAATTATAAGGATACATTCAAGGTTGCCACAAGGTGATATATTAGGTCCCTAACTATTGATTAAGACTCATTCCTATTAGTTTGATGCAGTTTGAACTCACTCAAAAGCATAGTATAAATTCTTATCGTATCTGTATTTTTGATAGATATACGTAAGCGTCAACGGTTACGTCAGCGCAGTCACGTACACACCGACGTGCGAATGATGTTTGGTCGTAAATTACGGCGCTGGTAGGAGATGAAGCCTGTCAACAACCATCTATTTTGGTAATCAATTCGGTGCCACTGTTTACACATAACAGATAAAAAAACAGACTGTTATGAATTAATTATGTGTCGCGAAAGGAGTATATTAAGTTCTTTTATTCAATGAGAGATGTACTAAAGTTATATTGCGCACAAATTCTCTCTAACTTTCTTTGAAAATTATGTCTCACTCATTGAAAACTATGTCTTTAATTTTAGCGCCTGCTCCCAATATCTCTGTTGCTAAAACTTGTTATTTTAATTTCAATTCAAAGTCATAAGCCTAAGGGATTCAGAATATAAAAGATTTTTAGTATTTTTACATACTGCCATTTATAGATTTTTTTTTTCATAAAATAAAAAACAGATGGTTGGTGAAGCGGGACGATAAACTTTATTATAGCATTTTTACAAAAAATGTTTTGTTAAAAGATACCAAGATACCAAAGATATCATAAACACAAATAAGCGCAGATAAACTAATAATTAATCAACAGATGGTGCATTTGTACTTTTGTAATAAAATTGTAATAAAATTATGGTACAATTGTTTTTATAAAAAGGGTTAGGTCAAATATTGACCCAAAACCGTTCTCTTGAAGCAAACGACTTTTTTTGTACTTTTCTATGCTCTTGTAATTGCAACGCAGATTGAACTTTTTTCCTTTCTTCTCTCTGGCTGATCCAAAGCATGAATAGATAAGAGAATATGAACACAAACAGTATTTTAAAATATGTATTACATAATTATATACACAATATATATACAAATACGCGTTTTTTTATTGTGAATCACAGCTCGAAGTCGAGCTCGATGGAAATATCCAACTCATCTGATTCCGATGGAAGAGAATGAAAAGGTTCCATCACAAATATGACATTTGCGTGGAAATCTCAAAACGACATTCCTCGCCCACGTGCCATAGGCAAAAAGTGGGTGATCAGATATCACAATAGAAACATGACATGCGCATTGTTGCGGCTCGTTCGCTTGCCTTTAAAACGACACCTGCGACGAGCGGCAATCCGCAAACTGGTTTGGACGATCCACACAGGTCGGTAAGAGCTTTATTTAGACCATAGGTATATTATTGTGCAAGCGGACGGCGAAAATAAATTGTAGTCTGTAAAATACAACAAACATTTACAGTACTTCTGGTGCGGTTTTGATTATGAAGAGACGCATGCAAGCGTTTTATCTAAGCATCAGGTTTTTGTGTGTTTTATTTAAGCATCATAAAGACTTTCATAACTGACTGATATACGCTTATCACAGGATTTCTGTACCAATATACAAAATATTGTATAGGGTTGGCTATTCCTCGGAGTGTTGTTCAACGCGTACTGACGTGCTACAATAGAGCGGACGACAAACCGGTGAAAATTCACCTGACGTCGTGTTAGAAAGCGTGGGCGATCCGATCGGGCAATTAATAGCAACATCGGGCCGTTCGAGATCGACTTCTTGCGCCTCCATTGTTCCATTGGCAGCTTTAATTAGTGGCGAAAGTCTAACGAGAGTGGCGCGTGAAAGTCTCCCACTAAGCTCCACGTGCATCGTGGCATCTTGCGTCGACGGCGCGTCAACTCGCCGGCTGCCAAGGACGAAAGGATTTCGATTTGGCGTAATCTTATCGGCATATCGTTAATATTGCTAATATTTTATTACTTACTTACAATAAAACGTTAGCGATTTAATAGGAAATGTTCAGTTTCTTTTGACATCGATAAACAACATCAAATATCCCATTAATTGGTATCTAAAAAATTATGATATTGGCTCTAAGCTTAGCTAGCGAAGAATAAAGAAAATTTCAATAAATTTTCTGGTGTTAAGTGATTGTTTATCTACATATTATATAAAATGCCGCCTTGTAGACGATAACATTCGGTGATAAAAATCAGTAGTACAAGTAAATTTTGATAAAATGCTAATTGCATTAGAAATTGATTTAGAATAGAAATTGTATTATTCAAATCTTATTTAATCAGTTGAGCCAAAACGATATGGTAAAGACTAATGAGTCAAATCATTTCAAAATACTACCCAAATACTAATACGTAATTCAGTGGCATCGAACAACGTAATTAGAAAATCGTGTAAAATGAGGGTCGAATATAAGAACCCTTAAGTTGGAAAACAAAAATATATTACAATGCCAAAAGTTTTCACACAATAGAAAGGTCTTCACTCGTTTTTAGATTTCTAATTATAATATAGCTAAAAACACGAGAACTTTAAATATTCTCTTATTTACGTCTTGGTTTTATATTTAATTCGACGAAGAGAAAATATGTGCATTAAATTTATGTCATCGTTCAGACCATGACGACTCACTTTAAAAAGAAAGTGATAAAATTGTACAGCACGAAACGCGTTCCGTTGTCAAACCATTAATAAAGCAACAATTTAATGGGTATTATTATAACTAGGTCTTTATCGCAGAATTCTCGGAGCACTAAAAACGTGTCACCGCAACGTGACTTCGGAATATCGATAAAAAATTAATAGTGACATCTGTAATAGACGAGTCAATTTAATTGTTAACGGAGCAATGTCTCGTCTTGGAATATTCTCACGGAGTCATGCGAACATTCCATTGAAATCGGTAGATGAGTTTTTTTTTATTCACAATAATTGAATCTTACAATGGTTTTACAATAGAACTTTGTAAGCTATGACTTACTTAAAAAAAGATAATAGTAATAAGCAAAAACACAAGAGAAACAATGAAACTTTAAATGTTCTCAACATGTGAGGTTTCGTAGAACGTTCCAAGATTCATATCGGTCAAATCTAAATAAATAAAAATGACACAGTAGGAACCGTCCGATTCTTAAGAGAGAGGGAGAGATTGATTGAAGGAAAGAGAGCGAGAGAGTCATGCAACTTCAAAAGATGAGAGGATTGATTGAATTAGCGGCAAAGGTCCCCCTCCAGCCCCTTTGTGTGGATCTATGCGCAGTACACACATCAATTTAAGTAATTGACCGCGCCGCTGCGGCTGCAGACGACGGCCGAGGCAAATATTTCGTTTGTTGCAACAGCAAATCACTCACGGCAAAACTACTAGCGTTGGCTTCACTGATTTGCATCATTTTATTTAAAACACTACGTACTATAATTAAAAAAAAAAAACAGTCTAGTACGGGTTCCGTACCAGTAAGTATAAAAATGTGAAAAAAATCATGTCTGTTGTATGGGAGCGCCACTTAAATATTTTTTTATTCTGTTTTTTAGTATTGTTGTTATAGCGGCAACAGAAATACATCATCCGTGAAAATTTCAACTGTCTAGCTATCGCAGTTCTTGAAATACAGACTGGTGACACACGGCCAGACAGACAAACGGACAGACGGGGAAGTCCTATTAATGGGGTCCCGTATTACCCCTTTCGGTACGGAACTATAAAAAAACACCACCACATTCTCACATTAAAAATTTTTTTAAGTACTTCAATTTCCGGACATTACATGATCAGTGTCGGATCGTTTCGCATGGCGTTAAAACGCTCGATCACGTTTCCCGGTGACAGCGTCTATCGCTCGTGTCGGACGCACAAATTGCAACCGTCGCGCGTTCGGAAAGCGAACGCGGAGACGAGATGTCTAGACTGTCTGTGGGAACCGACGAAGGCGGTTCGATTTCCGCGATGCGACGGAATTTTCGTTTTTCGACGCCTCCACCGTTTCGCGTTCGTTCTCCTTCGTAAAACGTTGCGCACTTTCGCCGGCTCGCCGCGAGATTTCCATCGTTGCGAAGCAACTTTCCAATACGGATGCGCATCAGTTCGATGATGAGATGCTCCTCGGCCCCGCGACGTGAGCGAGTCATGCTTGCGTCCCGCGTTTCAATCGCTTTCAATCGCTTTCAATCGCCGAATGCACTGAACTAAAGGCCCGAAACTCTTCTTCGACGGCTGAAATTCTTATGTTAAGTGGAACCGGTCGCGTTGCATTGTTCCGTTCGCGCCATATTCCGCGATCGATTTTTCTCCTCGCCGTCCGACGCGACTCGGTTTCATATAGGAATTTTAATTATACTTATTCATATTCCTGATCCGTACGCGGTGCGGTCGAAAAGAAATCGATCAGTTCGACTTTAACGTGCCCCCCAATAATTAACATTTTGATGACAACTCAGAGTCGTGTTCTATTAAAGAGGCAAGAAAAAGGTAAATAAATCAACAGGCTTCAACTTAATGAAGCATTCGAAGAATTCCGTACGGTTTAACATCTGAGGTTGATAAACAGGTGGTCTAGCAAATGCGGTGAATACAAATAAGATTACGCCAAGGATGGACTTGCAAATGGTGCATCCAAAGGCGCCGACACCGGTGACGCGCCTGATAACGTTCTAATTAAGGAGATAAATAATTAAAGCACGCGTCGTAAACATCGTCGGCCAGATGCGAAATTGTAAGAAATTAGATGCCTAGCTCGAAGTTCCTCGTAATTCGCGATTTGCATTAGAAACGAGATATACCGGTGGCTCCGTCTGAAGTGCCGACAGTGAACGGACGTGATTCAATTATTTAAAACTCAATAATCACAATTCGTTTAAATGGTGAGGATTGCGACTAAGGGCGAATCAAATGCCACGGAAGCATTAGAACAATGGTCTTGTTTTGCCGTGTATAGTAATTCGTACTAATTAAATTTTAACGAAATGCTTTCGTCGATGTAAATGTCAAAGGGATTGACGAAGACGTAACATTGTTCAGACTGGCATGCGAGTAGAACACTTAAGGTGTGACCAATATTACATACATTGTTGTTAATATCGAATGGTTGCCAAATTATTTCTACACGCATTCAGTCGCGCCGCTTAACGCCTAATTGGAACAGTTCGATAAACGATAAGGGAATAAAAAAAACACGTTCTATAATACACCATATAACAAACTACTGCCAAGTGGATGGACGCCAGATCCATAAATAAATAAACAGGTCGGATTGCATCTTAAATGCTTGGAACGCATCGCGTGGGTTTATCGGTAAGACACGAAAAAGTTAATTAAAAACAGAGATGTTTCAAAGTCACTTATCTCTTTAAAAGACACGACAGAGGTTAAGGTGAAAGAAATGTTGACATTGAGAGATTAAATTCCATAAAGACAAGTTTTAAGCATCCGATTTCAGTTTTTTGCGACTCTGTAAATTCAATGAGCAATTGGAACTCGCTCCTTATAACTTAACGGAGTGGACAGAGATAGCTGGTGCTACCCAATTTTTATCCCTAACCAACGTTAAAAATAACCAATCACCAATGGCAATGGTTAAACGATACCTAAATGAGCTCGACTATAGTACAGACTTGATGTAGTTTGGCAAACGAAGCATTGTCGCCAACAAAAGAATAGTGATCTCCTGAACGGCTGATCGTCAGATATTGAAAGGTGGAGAAATTTTTATGAAATCCCAAAAGTTACGTTATTAGCTGTGTTAGGGCCACGCAACAGTCTTCGCCGTTGCACGAATAGATAGGTCCGTCCGGAAGTACCACGACTGTGGAGTCGTGGTACTTCCTTTTTCTTCTGTTGAGAAGACCGACGTGAAGTGCAAGTGTTGTTATACAAGAAGTATATGTTTCGTCTGGATAGTGAGCAAACTGGGCCCGCCTTACTAATAGGTGGCACTGGCAACGCATCTGCGAATTGAGCAATGTCCACGGGAAGCGGTAATCGCTTAACATCAGGAGAACCGCCGGAACCCTGGCCACCTTCTCACATACAAAAAAGAAAGAATGAACCGGGTTGCAATTACGTTGCACGACGGTGGCGATAAGTGAAGTGTACTCGTCGAACAATTGACAAACGCCCTCAGAGGCCTTCGCAGCGAGGCTTCGGGCGCGATATCTCTCGCCGAGCCATTAACCTAAAAACGCAAGGGCGAACACGTCGCGCAGGGTGCAGCAATTACATAATACGCAGCGGAACTTTTCGGTTGAATAACAAGAGCTTACGGAACGGACCACCGTTGTTAACTTCGATTTGCGAACGCCCGGTTAGTTTCGAGTAATCGCGAAACCTTTCACTCTTGCATGTGCATGAATTCGTAACGTAATTTATATAATATTATTGTCACCCGGTGCGAACGTAATGCAGTTTGGCGACGGCAAACTTGAAACAATATTGAAGTGACTGAACAAGTTTTCTTTTATCGTGAGCCAAAATATTATTGAAATTCTTGTCCAATATTATTTTGTTTTCAAAACGAAGCAGTGATGGCCTTGTAGCCTTGTAGAAATTTCAAAAATCGCGTTCTAAGGTTGCCAGTTGTTTTTACATGCAATATTCGCTTGACACTTGATCCCAGATTACTATGCGCTCGCCATCTGTCTCGCTCTGGGAGGTAACATTCTGTGAAACATAGCGCAGTTGCCAAGATATTGGCTTCGGCGTCGGAGGTCGTGGGTTTGATTCCCACATGGGACAACTATTTGTTTGACCCACAGACAGTTTTTTCGCATCTGGATGTTTGTCCGCGTGATTAGTACATCGCATATCACGTAAGATGAAACATAAAAAAATTGAATTTTTAATAGTAAACGCGACATCTGTTGTTCGAATTATCGTTTTAAAACAATATTCGAAATTTCGGTATGCTGTTTACAGCCCATCCACCTAGTATCTTTTAGGATACTAGGTGGATGAGTCAAGCATTGCTTGGAAAGCGAAAAAACAATGTAGAAATCCGTTGAGATATTATTCGGCGCGGCAATCAGCTGCTCAGCTTACTGGTCTGGGAGCGCATCCCGAAGACGTAACGATTCTCACAGCAGCGAAAAACTGTTCGTACTTTACTCTACCAATCTTGAATGAATGAATGAATGAATGAATGAATGAATGAATGAATGAATGAAGGAATGAATGAATGAAATCTTAATGTATAGCCATCCCTTATCTTTGTCGGTCTGTGAAACGAAGTGGAAAATGTGAAGGAACGTAATTGGCGTGGCATGTTTACGCCCGCTAGTAGTGTAGTGGACGTAATTACTCTCGACCTCATAACAGTTGCGAGTGCCCATATCTCATTCGGAACCAGTCGGACGGCCTTCGCGAAGGTAATCCTCCGCGCGGCAGGCCAGCGGGCGCCCGGTGTGCTGGGACCGTGGGACTGGTCGGATTTAACTTGCACGAAATCCGCACTGCGGCATCATTTAGAATGATGTTCAATAATATAGACGACGCGTGTCCATACTGCGTGACATTTAAAAATCGTACCGCCTTACATTATGTCACACTAGCTGCTGCCCGCGACTACGTATGCGTAGAAAAGGCTGAAGGCGTAATAATAATAAAAAAGTAACATTCAGACAAAAAGACAGATATACATAAAATATGCATATAAATTATAGCATATATCTTATTCTGATGTATAAGCTATATTATTGTAATCCATTTAGTATCATTAAAATCCATTCAGTAGTATTTGCGTGAAAGAGTAACAAACATCCATCCATATATACAAACTTGGATACGTGGATGTGTGAGATTATATTGAACGTACGGTTCAGAAAGTGAACGCAGGTTATAGTCTCAATCTAAACACCCATTGGTGTGATTGAGTACATTCGTTTCGTTGCGCTAGTGCTGTCTAGTATCTACTTCGTATTTGTATATAACATCGTAGTTCATTTATTACGCGCGTTGCAAATCCGATAGCATTCACTGGTCTGATCGATGACGTTATTAAAGAAAGCTATTTAAAACAAAAAAAATGTTTATGAAAATACACTTATGGATGTGGGTATAGTGAACGAGAGTCCAAGACGGACGAAGCGACGCAACATTTTGTTTGCCCAAAAGTAAAGTAACAGTATATCAATGTCCCACTGCTGGGCAAAGGCCTTCTCTGTTCAGAGGGTATTAAGGCATAGTCCACCACGCGACCCTACTGCGGATTGGCGGACATATGGCGATGTTTTCCTTCACCGCTGGGCACGTGATAAGTCAGCACTTAAAATTAACAATTTCATTGGTACCGGCTACGTGGATCGAACTCAGCTTGCCTCAAGTATTTAGAATTAAAAGCCAGCGCTCGGACAATGAGCATGAGACATTTTTTGTCTACTTTTTAAATTTTTTAATTGATAATGTGGAAAACAAGAAGCGATTCACCTATATGATTACCGGTGCTACCACAATACAACGGGTATTGTGTTCGGTCGCCAACTTAGAAGCTCCCTAACCTACCTAACTTACTAGGATAAATGCAAAAATCAGTTTACAATGTGCCCCTCTTATACAGCGTGTCTTTACCACCGCGACAATAAATGAACACACGTCTAACGCTACTTGCCAATAATCATAAAAAATATAAACGTTAAAAAAATCCACAATTAAAAAAAAATTCTCAAACAAACTAATTAAGTAAAAAAGAAACAAAATTTGTAACATCCTATACAACTACAACTGAGTGATTCATACATTCAGAGACTTTTTCATTCGTTGCCACAGCGCCGCATTACAAGCCTCTCCTTCTAACAGTATGTTTTGTCTCCTTTAAATTCATTCAACCCATTCATAGCTTTGTGACCTTTACGCATGAACTTTACATTTAAGTTTTATACGTAAGGGTGTTCTAAAATTCTTTATTTTGGAAATTCGATAACTCGGTAAATATTGATTTTTAAAGAATGTAAATCTTTAATAAAATTTTAAAAAGTTATCCTCTATATGTGTGTTCATTTATTGTGGCGATGGTAAAGACACGCTGTATAAGGCCGTGAATATTTTATCCGTTATTGTTCTACATAAGACATACCAAGATATAAGAGCCCTATCGCAAATACGAATGCACTTGTTACGTACCAATTCAAACATCGTGCGT